CCGGGAAGTGGGGGGACGCGGCACCCCCGGGACGTAGCAGAGAAGGCTCCGGGTAGGGTGGCGGCGTGCGGAGGTGGGCAGCTCGCCCTTGGAGCCATGCTCCCTGTCAGGGTCCCCGCGGGGTCGGTGAGCGCCGCTTCTGTCCCCCCAGCTGAAGCTGAAGGGGTCCCAGGGGCGTGGAAGCTGTGTGGGCAGGCTCTGAGCACTCACTGTCCTCCTGTCCCCCAGATGAACCGTTCTCCAACCCCCTGGCCCCTGATGGCCACGACGTGGACGACTCACACTCCTTCCACCAGTGAGTACGGCACTGGGGCAGCACTGGACTGGGATGATGAGCCCAATTCCCTCCAGCTCCATCACCCAGGACTTGCTAGCAAACCCTCCTCACAAGCCACCTGGCTGTTGAAGCTCACGGGGGGATGACCAGTGTCTGTTCTCTTCATTCTTTGCAGGTCCAAGCTGACCAATGAAGACTTCAGAAAGCTTCTCATGACCCCGCGGGCTGCGCCAACATCTGCGCCACCGTCCAAATCTCGCCACCATGAGTGAGTAGGACCTTTATTTTACAGGGCTGTGGGACAAAGTGGGGCTTGGGCTCTGTTTCTGCCTGACTCTTCTCCATCTGGACTCTGCAGTGGGGTTTCTAGAGGAGGTTTTGCTAATGAGCGGACAGGCAGGGCCTGAGGAGCAGACCTTTGTGCTTGGCTCCATGGGTCTGTGTGCAGTGGAGAACCAGGTAGGTCAGGCCTGCTGTAAATAACAGTGAATCTTGCGCAGCAGCTAAGGCCCTTTGTGCAGGAAGCAGATTTTGGTTTAGATCTATGGAAATCAGCATTTCCCACTCCTCTCCCTGCTGACAGGGACGAATTAAGGAGAAATGGGACTGGATTGTTCCCATCTTTGAGGCTGAGGGACTGTTCTGTGTTGCCACTGGTGTTTGTGTGGCTCCACAGACTGAATGGGGGGTTTCTCACTCCTTTTCCAGGATGCCCCGGGAGTACAATGAAGATGAGGACCCAGCTGCTCGCAGGAGGAAGAAGAAAAGGTAAACAGGGAAAGGGATGTGTCAGGGCTTGTCTTCTTACATCGTGTCCCTCCTGTGGAAGCAGCTTCTGAGTTATTGGGCTGCCAAAGTGGATCCTGAGTGGTGCTGGAGCCGAGCGGAGCGAGAAGGGCTCAGACTGAGTGACTGTCACTGCTCGTGGGGACAGATGCCGGAGGGCAGCAGGAGGATGGGGGTGAAGCTTCATCTCCAGATGAAGTGGGAGAGGCTCTGTGGGTGGCTGGCAGGGCAGAGGGGTGGGACATCTGCACTGGTGCCCATGTCTGTTGGGGCACATCTGTGCATGGAAGGCTGCACGTGACCTCTTCCCTCTGGAAGGGAAGGCCGAGCTCCTCTTCAACCCTCCTTAGTGTGGTAGTTTCATCTTGTCTGGTGCTTTAGGATGGTTTTGGGGGAGAGGTTGGGAGCGGAACAGGCACGTGTGGAGCCTGGGGGGCCGTGAGCTGGGCGTCGCTCTGACACTGAGCTGGTTTCCCACCCCCAGCTATTATGCCAAGCTGCGCCAGCAGGAGATCGAGCGGGAGCGGGAGCTGGCCGAGAAGTACAGGGATCGAGCCAAGGAGCGGAGAGACGGTGTCAACAAGGACTATGAGGAGACGGAGCTGATCAGCACGACGGCCAACTACAGGGCCGTGGGCCCCACGGCCGAGGCGTACGTGAGCCCGCAGCCCGGCCTCCTCTCGCCGCTCCGCTCTGGTGGGGCTGTCTCGTAACTGCCTCTGTTTTGGTGGCACAGGGATAAATCCGCTGCGGAGAAGAGGAGACAGTTGATCCAGGAGTCCAAGTTCTTGGGTGGTGACATGGAGCATACTCACTTGGTGAAGGGTCTGGACTTTGCGCTGTTGCAGAAGGTGAGTGCTGGTGTCACTGCTGCTCTTCTACCCTGTCCAGTCCCACAGGCAGAGAGGGTGGGCAGAGGGTGGTAATTGCTGCTTACAGGATTCCAGCATGGTGGGGTTGGGAGGGACCTCTGGAGATCATCTCATCCAGCCCCCCTGCTCCAGCAGGTCACCCACAGCAGGGTGCCCAGGATCACTTCCAGGCAGGTTTGGGATCTCTCAAGAGAAGGAGACTCCACAACCTCTCCGGGCAGCCTGCCCCAGGCTCTGCCACCTTCACAGCAAAGAATTTTCTCCTCCTGTTCAGATGGAACCTCCCAGGTTACAGTTTGTGCCCATTGCCCTGTGTCCTGTCACTGGGCACCACTGACAAGAGTCTGGCCCTGTCCTCTTGATTCCCAGCCATTAACTCTTCACCAGCATTGATCAGATCCCCTCTGAGGCTTTTGTTTTCCAGACTGACCATCCCCAGGGATCTCAGCCTTTCCTTGGCACAGAGATGCTCCAGGCCCCTGAATATCTTTGTAGCCTTATTTGGACTCTCTCCAGTAGTTCCTTTTCTCTTTTGAATGGGTGAGCCCAGAGCTCAACCCAGTACTCCTGAGGTGGCCTCACTAGGGCAGAGCAGAGGGGCAGGAGAAGCTCCTGCACTCTTCTTCATGCACCCCATTAGACCTTTGGCCTTCCAGGCTGCCAGGGCCCATTGCTGGCTCGTGGTGAACTTGTTGTCCACCAGCCTCCCAGGTCATTCTCCATGGAGCTGCTTCCCAGCAGGTCACCCTGTCACATGTACTGGTCCATGGGGTTATTCCTCCCTAGGTGTAGGATGGTGCACTTCCCCTTGTTGAACTTCATGACATTCCCCTCTGCCTAACTCTCCAGCCTGTACTGGTGCTTCATTCTTGTTGGTGTGGATTTCTGTGTCTGGGAGAGCTCTGTGAAGGGATGGGGAGCTGCTGGAAGTGGGTTACTGGTTCTAATGGGCAGCAGTGGCATGGATGGGACTGTAATGCAGGGATTTTACTCTGTGGTCAGGTACGGGCTGAGATTGCCAGCAAGGAGAAAGAAGAGGAGGAAATGATGGAGAAGCCCCAGAAGGAAACAAAGTGAGTGGTTGGTTGTTTTGCAGTCCAGAGTGCGGCTGGTTCCCCAAGGGGAGGATACAGAGGAGACATAGGCTTGGCATAACCCTACTGTTTCTTTTCTCTTTCTGTTCAGGAAAGATGAAGATCCTGAGAACAAAATTGAATTTAAGACCCGGTTGGGTAAGACTTGGCTGTTGCCCACCTTGTGTTGTGCTGTGAATGTGGGACAAATCTGAAGAGTGAGTGGAGGAATAGAAGAAACCCTTCAGTCATTGGAGAGCCTGAGGCAGAGGCATCCTGAATTGGAGGGCTGGAGGCAGCGTGTCTCTTGGGAGGCGATTCTGGGGGTTCTGATGAACTCAGTGTTCTTCTCTCTGTTCTCCGTGGCTCTGCAGAGAGCAGCTCTGCCACGTGTGTTCCCTTCCCCTCCAGGTCGCAACATCTACCGCATCCTGTTCAAGAACAAGTCCTACGAGCGGAACGAGCTGTTCCTGCCGGGGCGGATGGCCTACGTGGTGGACCTGGACGACGAGTACGCCGACACCGACATCCCCACCACGCTGATCCGCAGCAAGGCCGACTGCCCCACCATGGAGGTACCCAGCCGCCGGCCGGGCCGGGCCCTGCCGGCAGGAGATCCTCTCCGGGGATCCTGACGCTTCCTTTGGGGGGTTTCTCCTTCAGGCACAGACCACGCTGACCACCAACGACATTGTCATCAGCAAGCTGACGCAGATCCTCTCCTACCTCCGGCAAGGGACCCGCAACAAGAAGCTCAAAAAGAAAGACAAAGGTAAGAGCTGAAGGGAGCCCTGTTGCAGGGCTTGGTGCTGGAAGCGTATCCTGAGAGAACGGGACGGGCCGTGGCCTGCTGTGTTCCCCTGTGCCCTGTGGTGGCTTAAGGCCACACAGCTGGTAGCAGAGTGCCCTGCAGCCACTTGCCCGTGCCCCTCTGGTGGGACTGTGGAGTCATAGAATCACTGAAGTTGGAAAAGACCTCTAAGATCCTCAGGTCCAACCGTCAACCCGACATTACTGTGACCAACAAACCATGTCCTGAAGTACCACGTCTGCATGCTTGGTGAACCCCTCCAGGGCTGGGGACTCCAGCACCTCCCTGGGCAGCCTGGGCCAACACCTCACCACTCTGCCGGGAAAGAAATTCTGCCTAAATCAAATCAAAACTTCCCCTGGGGCAACTTCAGCCCATTGCCTTTTGTTCTGTCACTGGTTAATTGGGAAGAGAGACCAACCCCCACCTCACTCCGATCTCCTTTTAGGGAGTTGGAGAGGGCAACAGGGTCTCCCCTCAGCCTCCTCTTCTCCAGGCTAAACACCCCCAGGTCCCTCAGCTGCTCCTCACAAGCCATGTTCCCCAGACCCCTCACCAGCTTCGTTGCCCTTCTCTGGACCCGCTCCAGCCCCTCAAGGTCTTTCTTATCCTGTGGTGCCCAAAAGTGACCCCAGGACTCAAGCTGTGGCCTCCCCAGTGCTGAGTCCAGGGGCACCATCACTGCCCTGCTCCTGCTGGACACACTAGTGCTGACCCAGGCCAGGATGCTGGTGGCCTTCTTGGCCACCCGGGCCCACGCTGGCTCTTCTCCAGCCAGCTGCCCACCAGCACCCCCCCATCCTTTTCTGCTGGGCACTTTTTGGACACTCCTCCCTCAGGCTGGAGTGTTGCAGGGAGTTGCCTTTAGGGTTGCCTGGGGATGGGGAGGAGAAAATGCAACAAAACGTTTGGGTGTTGAGAGAAAGGACAGGGAGGGCACAGTCACCTCTTGTAGTCATGGGCAAAAGGCAGACTGGACTTGGGGAAACAAAATCAATGTAATTTAAACAAAACCACCTCCAGGGCACTAATTGCATGAGAGAAGGACAGCAATGAATGATGGATTATGAATACACCTTCCCCCACCCCCTTTCTTCCCAGACCCCCGTCTTCTGCCTCTGCCCAGCAGTGCAGGAGGGCAAGGCCTGGGGCTATGGTCAGTCCCAGTCTGTTCAGTGTTGTTTCTGTCACTCCTCCCTCCTCGGGGAACACTCACAGTCCTCCCCTGCAGCAGTGTGCTGTCCCTCCCATGGGAGGCAGTCCTCCAGTCCAACTCAGGGGAGCTTCAGAGCTTCTTACAGGAGCCCACCAGTAACCCTCTCCCTGGCTACCAACCCCCCCGCCCCAGGCACAAACCCAACACTTGCTTGAAGTGTATCTTGAGAGCAGGAGATGTGATTTGGTTTGCCAAGTTCCCCTGCACCCTAAGGTAGTGGATTTAGAGGACAGTGGTTTCCTGTAGCTCCTCAAGCACCAGTGTCCAGCAGGTCGATTGCAGATCGCAGCTGTGAGGGTGCCTCGAGCTGCTCTCCTCCTCCTGGTTAAGGCCCAGTTCTTTAGATAGACGTCCCCTGATGCAGGGGGACATGGTGGCTTCCTGAAAGGGCTGCATGTGATGTGGTAACCAAAGAGAAAGTCAAGCCAGGATGGCCATGCTTGGAAACCAGACTGGGAGCAGTGCCGGTGTCAGGGTGGGTGATGTGCCTCTCACTGCTGTTGTGTCCTTGCAGGGAAGCTGGATGAGAAGAAACCTCCCGAAGCTGATATGAAGTAAGTGCCACCCTGCCCACAGGCTGTGGGTTCACAGCTCTCTATTTAAGGAGTGTCTTTTGGGCCCACCACGTTAGGAGAGGGCTGGGGTTAGTGCTTCTGGAGCGAGTGGCTTGTAGGACCAGGCTGGAGGCAAGCTCTGTGTTGTGGTATAAGCTCTCCCAGCTGGCAGCAAAGCAGCCTGCAGCCACTTGCTCCTACCCCCTCCCGTGGGATGGGGAGGAGAAGACGGCAAAAAGCTGCAGGGTTTAGGCAAAGGACAGTGAGGACACAGTCACCAGTTATAGCCAGGGGCAAGAGGCAGACTCGACCTGGGGAAAACAAAATCAATTAAATTTAAACAACAAAACCACCACC